TTCATCCACAATTGCCTTGGACTCTCTCGAGTCAATGTGAGGGGCCGATGAGCCTCAGGAGATCTCTTAATCTCTTAATTCAGAGAACGCTGTTGACACATGGGTCAAGTAGGTTGTTAACTTAGAACTCTCAATTTAATGTCTGAATTTAGGTGGGAGGAACCTGGGCTATGATGTGTGTGTGTCTTATGTATTTTGTGCTTTCCCTATGTATTGTGCAATGGGAAGAGTGACTGGCCAGTATTGCAAAACATAAAAATTTGAGAGTGTTGCAGCCCAGATACATGCACTTAAAATAAGATTCTCACCAGAACAGTATAGATGAGTTTAAATACTATTCAGTGTATTTTAATCCATTATAAAATAAAGAAATGTTAATTAGTACTATACAGACAGTGGTGTCAAGTTCAGTCCAGTTCTTCTGCAGAGACCTGTGAGGTAGATGGATGAGCTCTTACATCATCGGCTGGACTCCATTAGCCCTGTTGATATGGATGTACTGAGCTCAGTGAATTACTAAGTTTAAGCCTGCTTGTTCAGGCCAGATAACATATTAAAAGGTTTTTCTTTAAGAGCATTGGAATACAGTGTCATCATATTTGTGGAAAATAAGGTTGTGAAATCTTAGTAGGTGCTAAATTAGGATCAGTTTTTCCCACATAAATACTTTTTTTTCCCAGTGACTTAAATGGAGCAATCATGAAAGTATTGTAAAACACTGCGGTGATAAAATGCCGAGTGAGGTAATTCATGGGATAATCTCAAAATAGTGGACAAATGGTTTTAGATGTGAAATACGTTTAAATGTTCGCATTACATCTGACCAGAAACAGTGCCCTGCCTAAATATCCAGTGAAACAGCTGAAGAAACCGCACCGGCTGGCAGCAACACAGATCCAGTACTGGCATATTGACTTGGAGCAATGGGAGCACCAGGAGTCAGGTTTAACTGCCGTGGTGAAGTGGCTGCAGAATATGGATTTAAGTTTCTGAGATAACCGGATGCCTTACGTAATCTGGTTACATTTGAAGATAATCATTAACTACTCCTTTTGCAATGCTATTCTTGAATTAAAGGGGGATTTTGGATGGCAAACTGAAGTAAATTCAGTGAAGTGTGTGTGCTCAGAGTGATTGAAATAGGACTCACTTTCAAAAACGACTCTTTTGTCTGAATTTCATAAGGAAGTGTTCAGAAAGCGGTTGCATCTTAATTAAGAAGTGGAGTGCTATGTAATAATATTCCGTATTACCTCTTAATACTGCATATTAACATGTTGTTGGCCCCATATGCAATTACAGTTTCAAAGCTTAAGTTCTCATCCTTTCAGCGTGCTGTCAGACCTTGCAGATGAAGCATGCAGCAGCGTACCTAATCGATATCAGAATAGCTATCAGCTATTTGTAGTAAATGGGGGACGGTGACCCCTGCCCTCTGGAGGTGACTGGCATCACAGGGGGAGAACGGAGCTTTTACACGGGGACTGTGAGTTCGCAGTGACCTGTTGTCCCTACCGTGTTCTTGGAGACTTTCCTTCCTTCCCAACCTAGAGCACCTGCCAAAGCTGGAATGTGTATCTGCGTGTTTTCATACAGCAGGAGGGAACTACCACGTTCGTCAGATGCACTCTGCCAAGTCCCATGTGTCCCTGTGTGCTTCACTGTATCCCCATTAGAGCTGTATTTTGATAAATTTAATAAATAGTGTCAGGGGGCAGCCAGAGCAGGACTGCTGCACAGGAGGGGCCGAGGCAGGAGCCGAGGGTGGCCCCAACACAGACTCACTGACCAGGGCACTGCTCACAGGGCTGAACGTCAGAGCTGGGCACTGGTGACAAGCTCTACCAGCACCCCTGACCCGGGGAGCAATGAACCTGATGCCTCCAGGGAGTCCGGTCAGAAGCCAAAGGATCCGGAGCCAGGGCTCAAAGCACGGCTGCGACCTGGGCCTGCCCAGGGGACAGGACTACAGTCAGGCATGGCAATGGCGTGGCTTAGGCAGGGACTGAGGGCCTCGGGCTGAGTTTACCTGCAGCTCTTGGGCCCGTGGGTAGAGGTCCTGACTGAGACTGGTCAGGGCCAGTGGAGTCTACCAGTGCCTTCAGGCCCTGATAAGCGGATACAAATTCTACCCTTGCTTTTCCATGGCTATTCCATCAACTTTGATGTCTGCAATCTGGTTTAAAACAAAAAAAAAACCCTAAACCAACCCACAAGGAATATTGGTTTTAACATGCAAAACTGAGTTGCAGGAGCAACTGTTTAGACTTGTAAGAAATGTCAAGTGGAAATTTCATTCTTGGGTTTTTTTTTCTTGGTACATCAGACTAGTTTTTATGCTGGTTGAGGGTATTACTTTATCTTTATTTTGAAATAATAAGAAAAACTACTTGTGTCTGCAGTATCATTGCAGTGATGCAAGTGGACATATATCCATCAGGGATGCTGTGACTATGTGGAGTGTTTTACATTAGCGCTTAAGACAAAAGAACAAGTTGAGGTTTGGGGGTTTTTAAAATTTTTTTTCCTCTCCTTTTTTTAATATGTTTTCCTTTTTATAGTCAGTCTTGGTCAAGTCTATTTTGTGAATGTCTCTGCAGGCTGCCTCTCTTCACGAAAGTATGAAAAACATACATAGTGATTATGTCTCAGCCCTCCCATATTTTTTTACTAACTGCTTTGCCGATTGAGTCCTTGAGCTGTTGGCTTAAAAACCAGGTTTACATTACTGCTCTTAAAATCGAAATAAAGATGAGTAGGTCAGAAAGCTAATTAATTAAAGTAAGATTAAGGTCATAAATGTGTGTCTCTATACCCAAACATGCAGTTACTTATTCCCGTTATCTTCAGGAATTTCCATTCCTTAAGGAAAGGCAATAAATTAATTTGTTCCTAGAGTAATTTGCTGACTATTGAAGCATAGATCCAGCTGCTTTTTAGTTCACCTGGCACAGGAGAAAGGGAAAATCTACTGGAAGTTTCTGGGATTTTTGTCTCTGGCCCAGTTCTTGGGGTAAAAATGAGTTCTGGACAGGATAACTTTAAACTTTGCTAAGTGGATTTAAGAAGAAAAACCTTTTATTTAATTTCTTAAGTATAAGGGTAATTGAAAGAACTCCCCCTGCTCCCACTGAACTAAAAAAAACATTGAAGCGCTATGAAATGCTTTTTTCATTAAAACCCCAGTGCATGTGCTGGCTGTGCATGCTTGCGCCCATCGTTGCAAGCAGCATGTCAGTTGCAGAGGCAGATGCAGTTTAAAAGTACATACGATGTACTACATACATTATTTACAAGCAGCATGTGCTTTAGTACAGCTGTAACCGTTTGCTGCTACCTGTGTGACAAGGAGGATGTTTGTACTGAACCTGTCGGGTTTGGCAGCTAGAGTTGAGTGATCTGCTTTGAACTGCATTACCTGTCCTCTGACAAGCCCAAAGGTCTGTTGACTAAAATGAAACATAATTACTGTCTTTAAACTGGGAAGAAGATGCACCTTGCAGGAATATTGGAAGAAGAGTGTTTTATCTGGAAGCCCCCTCTTCTATTGAAATAACATAGTAAGTGATAGAGAGACTACTTCATACTTTATGGGTAATTCCTGGGACATCTGGTGCTAAATAATGCAGGGGTCTATTTTTGGCTTTCTTTTTATAAACACTTTTGTATTAAGAAGGCTTTTTAAATGGGCTTTACTTTCTTCAGATCTATGAAACTGCCGCCTTTAACTGTAATATAGAGAATGCCTACATTTATCATTGCTAATATCTGTAGTCTGGGGTGTTGCTTTTAACTCAAGCTAATCAGCAGCTAGAAACAGAGATACATTAGAAACACTTGGATTTAGGTGCTTGCAGGATACATGCAGATCGTTCTTCCTTATCCAAAAAGCATTACATTTACCTGGAGAGATGCACGTCTCCCCTGCTTGGGCCTGGCATTTTCCAGATAGACTTGGAAAAGCTTGCTCGGGTCCCTTGTGCTTGGACCTGTTTTGTTGCCCGCATGCCTTCTGGAGGGGTGTGGGAACAAACCCGTCTCTGGATGTCGTGGCATTTCCTGGAGAAGTGACACCTTGCTAGCACTTTGCAGAATTCCCAAATGCTGTGTAGCAACTGTGTTTGGAAAGCTCAAGCTGTTTCCCCATGTAGAAGGAATCTTTTACAGTTAATGGCGGTTTTATTGTAATTTCAAGGAGGGGGTGATTTTTGTTTATGTAACAGAGTAAAATCACTGTAGTTCTCTGGTGTTTGTATATGTAAATTGAGAAACCTGCAGGTGTTTAAGCATATGCTCGCTCTTACCTGTAAGCACAAATAAACCTGATCATTAGCTCTGTCTATCTTTCTTACGCTCAGGAAGAGGGCGGCCCAGAAGGACCTGGGCGCTGTGTCAGAAACCAAAGCATCTCGCTTCTTCCTGCCACGTTTCCAGTGTCAAGATTTCCTTCATTATTTCATCTGTTTATGAAAATTTCGAACAGTCATTTTGGTCCCCCCATATAATGAGAATATGATATTCTTTTTTTTAGAAATTTTTGAACAGTAATTTCTGCCCCCCATAGCATGGCAATCATGATATTCTTTTTTCCTTTTTTTTTTTTTTCACTTCTTGCCAGTCTGTGTTCTGGGATGTTCTTTTACCTGATTAAACTGGGTTTTGGAGGGTACTTTTAAGATAAATACTGGCTTGCTCTGCTGAAAATACAAAGTGGTATTGATATTTTTTGCCTTTATAGTTGTTACCAAGATTACATGTAAATTGATATTTGTATCTCATTTGATGTTTGTGATTAGCTCCCTGACCTGTGATATAAGCATTTTGAGAAACTACAGGGTACTCCTGAAGTTTTTATAAATAAAATCAAAGATAGAAAAATCTGTATGTAACTGTCAATTTATCATTAATTAGTCATTATTTGAGCCTTTTGAGTTTTTTTTTTATTTCTTACAGAAAATGATGTTGCCTTCGTTTTGAAATTTCAGAAATCAACAGCGTTTTCATGTCTGAGTACTGGTATTGGAGGTTGATCCCGTGCAAAGAAACTGGAAGCTGTAACTGTTTCACAACAGCCAACCAGTCTGATGAAGCGAAAGAAGAAGATACAAACCACCAGGTTGTGGTGTCAGACGTCATGCAGCTTGTGCAAGATAAGCAGGAGGTGCCAGAAAGCACAGCAGGTGAGAAAAATATAGTACACTTTATAAATTATCCAGCTGGCTGCCAAACTGTGTTAAGAAAAGGACAGATGGCTTTACAAATTTTAGCAATGGTGTCTCATCATTAGCAGTGGGAGTAGGGCAGGGAGCCCGAATAAAGGAATAGCTGAGTACTCACTTGGAGGAGGGTGATGTCACCAGAAAAACAAACGTTTAGTAGCAGCCAGTAAAGAGTGAAGACCTTTACTCAGGAGAGCGGATGCTTGTTACAAGAAATTAAAATAATTCCGTAAATTAATTGATGAGCAAAAAATAGTCATCCCAGAGAAACCTGACCTACCTACCTCCTACAGTTTTAAAATCGTACTCTAGAGAAACTGCTGAGAAGCAAGTACAAAATACCTCTCTGCCTTATCACATTGGTTTTGTTGCCATGGTCCATAAGCAGAAAAGTGTAGTGAGTGCTAGTTTATAGTTACGGGGATTAAAAACACATTTTTTCCTGTACCATCTGATCTGATATTTACCCGCAGGAGGTTGTTGCATTCGTATATGAAGTATGTGACCTTTGCCTTGGTACTAGCACAGGCGGACTATAATTCCATAATTTGATTAGCAGTTGCATCTGATAGCAATTGGTCTTTATTAACATATCTTTTGTTTTGTGAAATAAATTTTTAAAAAGACTCCTGCGTAGTTAAAATCTGTGCATCTTCATGCAAACCTCTCTAAGCCGGAAAGATGATCCAAAACCGGAAAGGTGAAATTCACTAAAATGCAGCTTTGCATTTAATATAGAATTGCAAGGCAAGATATGACTCCTTTGTAATAAAGGAAAAAAAAAGCTCATTATTTCAGCCTCAATGAGCTAATGATGTTGGTGCTACTACAGAATGATTTGTATTCTGCTGTGACTTAACAGGAAGTAGTTAATAAAGTAATCATTTTATTTGTGTACTAGGGAGGTCTTAGCCAGAATATGAGATTTCTTTTGAGGCCGACAAGGAAAGATGCAAAATAAAAAATAATAAAAAAACCCCACACCAAAACAAAACCAAAAAACCCCCTGCAGAAATTCCAGAGGAGGATGTCAGGAAGGATAGGTCAGAGGTTTACAAAAGACAACTTCTGTGGAAATAAGGAGGATGTATCTAGACTACAAGAGAAAACAGAAGAGAGAGCACACATATTCTGACTTCCTAGTGGAGGTCTTTGGAGGTTGTGGAAGAAGGTAGACAGCTGCTTGTTTTAATTTTCTCGATGTCCGTATGTAATAGAATAAGAACAAGATAACACAAGCTTGGTTTCTGCAGAGAAGATTTAGACCTAATTGTGGGGATTGTTAAACAGTCTATTTGGAGATCTTGCACAGTCTCTAGCCTGTTTCTAATGAAAAGTCCAGTGAAACAAACGACTACTGGAAGTGAGCTAGATGTACATGGTTCCATCTCAGTGCTTTAAGCTAGGCTAAGAGATTTCACAGGTTCTTTTAGTACAGTGCTTCTGTGGTGGAAAAAGAAACAAACAAGTCCTGGAAAGACGGGCCTGGAGTTTGAAGAGGGAGGAAAGGTAGTTCTATCTTATGTCATCTGGAGGATTTTAAATGGGAAATGACTGCTCTTTCTCTCTAGAAATTCAGGGGAGAGCTGTGTTAGGTTCAGACTAAGGTGCATGTGTATTCTCAGTTGATGTAACAGTGAATCAACGGTTGACTAGTTGATCTAGAAAGGAAGCTTGGTAAGCTGTACAGATCAGAATGAAAGCAGCGAAGGCAAACCGGCAACTGAGCGTATATACATACTTCATAGGCATGGGACTGCCTATAATAACCTGCACATACTTGGGTATGCTAATTTCACCTTTTAGCTGTGGCTGCAGTCCATGTGAAAGGAATACGAGGTTTAGTGAAAGAGATTCTGGGCTATGTTTCCTGACCTGAGATGCAGCAGATTTTTCATTGAGGGTTACATCCATGCCTGGCTTGACAGCTGAATTGCAAGCTGTTAATCAAAACTGAAAAGGACCTGATAATATTCTGTATGCCTTGAAAAAGTGGGATATAGTTTAAAAAAAACTCAGTGTGTTTGTCTTCTTTCCACCTGAAGAAGAGAAGAGTGTGTAGACTGGGAAAGGAGCTTTCTCAGAGCTAGGCAAGAGAAACTTAGTTGCAGATAATTTTCTGATAAAGCTATTAAACTTTAAAACTAAATTCAGTATGAAAGCTCTTTCTGTGTCATAACTAATGCTGTTGCTAGTATTTGGGATTGAGTGAATCATTGTGTTTGTGGCCATTTTATTGGGTTTTGATTTTTAACAAACTATTACTCTTAATTGATGCAATCTGCATGTTAATCTTTTCTGACTTGATCAAGAGACTGCTAAAAAGAATCTGCTCTGAAAAGAACTACAGAAGCATAACATGGTGAATATTTAAAGTGGGCAATTTATATGTTGAATAGGTGCTGGGATGAGCAATTGTTTTGCTCCAGTTCTAATACTTGTTCAAATACTTATTTCAGGAAAAGAAGCAAGTGTTTTTGTGGTTGTTAAAGAAAGCCGTAGTGCCTTGTTCTCTGAAGCTAAGCCTTATAGTCTTCTGGTGGGATAAGGCAGAAAGAGTAATGCTGCTGCAGAAAATAAACTCCAGCAGTGTTGTTGGAGTCTTTTCACTTCTCTGTTTTCAACTTCTGTAAGCAAATGTGAGGGGTCTTAGTCTCTCATGCAGACTATCAGTACTGTAGGATGGAGAGCATCTTGCTGCTCTTCTTAGTTAAACCATATGTCGCTGAAGTTTTAACGCCTTTTTTCCCTCCCCCTCCCCAGAAACTCATCTGCTATGCTATTGGAACTATATTAATAGCAATATTTTTACTGCAGCATTTTCCTTGAAGTTATAATTAAGATCAGGTCTTCATTGTGTCTGTGATTTTACACACTTGAGAACATGTTGCATCTTGGAAGGCTTAAAAGTCTATCATGAAAGCGATAGATGAAGCAGCATGCAAAATTCAGCTTGAGGCAGACCACAACCAAGATGGAAGCATGATAACCTCTGACCAACTTGTGTGGGCTGTTGCCTCTCTTGTCTTCAGAAGAGACTGGAAAATGGAAAGGTCATGGAGAAAGAGCGAAGGCATGGGAGACAGTCATGAGTCCTTAAAAAGAACAAAAAATAAAATTTCCAGTATTTCTATAATTTCTCAGTGCCTGTTATGTTTTCTGTCTGGCTGGAGTTGGACTTCAGGAGTGCTGTGCTTGGAGGCCTGTTCATATAACAAGAACATGTTTTTTGAATGGGGCTTTTCTGCTCTGGAGATGGTCCCCTTCAAATGGTTGACACCTTTTCTTTGTTTGGTTTTTGCTCTGTTCAGTTCAGGTCTGTTTAGAATGTAGTCTTTTCACACAGGGTGTTTTAGCCTCCTGCCAAGATGGTAAAGCAGTAGGGAAGCAGAGGAAACCTTTTGTGGTGTCAAGATTTGCGAGTGTGACGTCTTAGGAATTGTAATTGCTCATCTTCTAGCAAACAGCCATGAGGGTGCTACAGATAAAGCTCTTACTATAGTAAGGGGACTATCATGGTTCTGCCTAGGTTTTGAGGAATCCAAGGATACAAGGTGACTGTTGACTGAAGTAAGTCTCTGCGGTCCGAACTTACCTGAGAAAACATACTTCATGAGTGGAATCTTTTTTTAACCCATTTTAAATTATAAAATGCATATGTCTCTTCCATTTTACATGATAGGATTTCTGCATGAGAAATTACAAGGCAGCTGAAAAGACAGCTGAGTGACCATGTAATGCGTCAATTCTTGCACTTGTGACAAACAGTGCTGCGAAACACCATCAGCTGTAGCGCTCACAGGCACTTGAAATGCTCATCTGTTACATTCACATGCTCTTGGAAAGAAATGTGCTTGGTATCATGTCAGAATGCTAGATTGCATTGTTTTCCGTATGCAAGCACCTTTTAGGCACCGCTCAGTGGCATTACTGACAGCTTTGACTGAATTGCATACCTGGTACGACATCAGTGTCTGGAACAGTGTGGTCAGGTTACAGTATCAAGACCACAGATGACTCATCACCTGCTTCAAAGGGGTGAAGAACCAACAACGTGCTGCCTCTTAAACACTTGTACATCCTGGTAACTCCAGTTATATTCTGAACCCAGAGTGTAGCTTCAGTTATACTTGTTAACCCCTTGCTTCCACTGTCACAGCTGTGTAAATAGGAGAACTCAGCAGTAATGTACGAGGGAAGCATTGTAGGCATTCACTGTTATAATAATTATACTGTTTTGAATTAAGTGACTCTTCAGAAAAGCAATAGCTAATGCTGTTTGGATCAAGTCCATTCTATTCCTTGCTATTTACAATTGCAACTTTTAAAAAATCTTATGTAAAAAATAAGAAACCTTAAAAAGATCTCTTAGAAGCCACTTTTATTGATAAGTAGAAGAGTGCCAGGATTAATCCAGTGTATTTTGGGGAAGAAGTTCTCCATTTATGCAATATATTTGTGAAGTTCCTTGATTCTTTGAGCTACTGTATTCTCTGAGAAGCTTTATCATACTCAATATCTCACTAGAATTTTAATTTGCAAAGCTGTGTACGTTGCAGCATACCTCAAGTAACAACTTCATGAAAAGCTTTTTTCAAGGACTTGCTTATAAACTAGATTAATACAGCTAACAGGTATATGTAGAAAATGAGGCTGTGAACATCATACGAAGTATTTTTGAGGTTGTTTGCGTGCTCAAAAAAAAATACTGAAATGTCAAGGTAAGACCAAAATTTGTGAGGCAGTCAGAGATTTCTTCTGTGTTAGAATTCCATATGCAGCTGAGACAAGACTGTTTTTTCACGGGAGTGACACAGCATGCTGTCATCTGATTAACATTAGTACATCTTCTGTGGAATGAAGGTGGCATTATATTCTTCTCAGCCTGTCTGTGCAGATGCTGAATAGCCCATGAACTTTTTTTGCCTTTAAAAACAAGGCAGCTAGTGCAGGAGTCCCTA